ATATATATATATATATATATATATATATATATATATATATATATATATATATATATATAAATTGTATGTATATGCATAGATAAGACACCATCCACAATATGTATAATCTTTCTCCTGCAGCAGCAGCAGCAGCTGCTGCTGCTCCTGCTGCAGCAGCAGCAGCAGCTGCTGCTGCTGCTGCTGGTGGGGACGATACGAAGCTCCTCTGAGTACAGCAGAGGAGAGACACGTCCACCTAGGGTTTAGGGTTTAGGGTTTGGGGTTTAGGGTTTAGGGTTTGGGGTTTAGGGTTTGGGGCCCTCTTGGCTCCATGTGCTGCTGCATAGAAAAATAAAAAGGAAACACCTAAAAAAAAAAAAACAAAAAAAAAAGAAAGAGAGATAAATAAAAAACAAAATCAGAGACAGAGAAAAAGGAGACAGATAAATACATAAAAACAAAAGAAACAAAAAAAAGAAAAAACAAAAGAAACAAAAGAAATAAAACAAAGAAGGGAAGTACTCACTTGTATAAATATAATAAATAAAAATATAAAAAACTATTTGTTTCTGTATAAATAAATAAATAAATAAATAAATAAAAATATAAAAAAATATTTTCTATTGATACTGTTGGTGTAAAACAGAAAGAAAAAGAAAAAAACAAAAACAAAAAAAAACAAAAAAAACAAAAAAACAAAAAAAACAAAACAAAGAAACACGTACATGTATAAATATAAAAAGTAAAAACAAAAAAAAAAAGAAAAAAACTTTTTATTGATGCTGTTGGTGTTGATACTCAGGTAGAACATAAGCAATATCATCACCACAAGTAAAACACAAAAAAAAACAGAAAAAAAACAGAAAAAAACAAAACAAAAACAACCAAAACTAAACAAATAAATACTTACCTATATAAATATAAAACGTATAAAAAAAGGAGACACATGTTATGGATTTTGTTGGTGTTCATATCCTGGTAGAACATAAGCAATATCATCAACACAAGCAAAACACAAAAAAAAACAGAAAAAAAAACAGAAAAAAAAACAGAAAAAAAAAACAAAACTAAACAAACAAGTACTTACTTATATAAATATAAAAAGTATAAAAAAAGGAGAGATATGTTACGGCTGTTGTTGGTGTTCATATCCCGGTAGAACATAAGCAATATCATCAACATCGTGTCTATATAAACCCTGTTTGAGTCTCTTTTGGTCTAGGTAGTGCCCGATAAAACCTATACTTCTGCCTAAAACAAATAAACCATTTATACATCCGTTGTTTATATAATCTTTTGCTTCATTAGCAGTGAAAAAGCCCGAAAAAAGAAGAAGATCACACATAGAAACACCAATCAATCCATCTATATTTAATATTAATGTATCTTTTTTTTTTGTTGTTATTTTTTCTACCTCAAGAGCATAATTTATAATCGGGGTAGCAGGGAAAGAAGAGAGACAGAGTTTTTTTAGTATTTCGACTCTATTATCTTTATTATGTATACTTTTTATTCTATGACCAATGCCCATAATTAATTTATTTTTTTGTTTCATATTTTTTACAAAAACCTGCGGTGACACCCCAGCTGTATATGCAGCTAGAAACTGTCTAGCAGCTTCGTCACAAGCCCCACCAAACCTATCTCCTATAGTGCATAAACCCGAAATAAGAGAACAAATTAAATCCTTATTAGCCCTTGTAGTAACTATAANTCTCCTATAGTGCATAAACCCGAAATAAGAGAACAAATTAAATCCTTATTAGCCCTTGTAGTAACTATAACATTATGAGCTCCACATACAGCTGGCCCGTGATCAGCAGTGAGCATAAGTACAGTCTCTATATATTTGTAGCAATATGTAGATAGAGGTCTCTTAAACCATAATAAACATAAAACACCACCAATACCTATATTTTCCTTTATTATACGATCTATACTCCAACCAGAATATAATAACTCTTCTCCTCTATCATCTGTAATTGAGGAGACAAAACCTTTAGGTTTTCTTACTAAGCCTAGTTTTTTAGCCCATGCATAATCTATAGGTATTCTAGGTATAGATATTTGTGTATTTGTTTTTTTTTTTTTTATTATACCTTTCTTTATATATTCATTATATATTTTCTTTATCTCATCACCAAATGTA